CTGGGCTTTGTGACCTTTAGCAAATCACATAATCTCACATCTATAAAAAATGGGATATTGCAGCTTGCATCTCACGGGCTCATGTTGAGGTCTGATTATATCCCAAGAATAAACAAGGATTGCCCACTGTATATGGATCTTTGAAAGAAAAAAAATTACACAAATACCAACAAGATTGATATTCACCAGCCCTTGTTCATGGCTCACTGTTGGTCTCTAGCAAATATTTTAAAATTACAGAAGGTAAAAAGTGACCTCATGAAACTAAAGTTAATAATTTCTGGAGAAAATAATGCAGTCTGAAAACAGACCAGTCAGTTCTAGAAAGCCATGAAAGCTTTAAAAATGAGGTTTTTAGGATCATCCTTTGGAAGATGAACTGCAAACAAGAGCCAGTGGGTGCAATAGCATTTGCAATCACAAGTCACAGGGCAGCCGTAAGAATGTGTAAGGACCTGCTGGCTTCTTCAGCCATGAAGCTGGAGTGACTCACTGATAGCAGTCACTGGGAGTACAAATTGGATATAAATGACTGTAGCTTATGTAACATTCCATTCCCTCAACTACAAACGCAATGCACGACACACACAAAAACTGTTCAGGATTTCTGGATGTCCATGAGGGTTTTGATATTGTCCATATTGCTCTGAATACACTTTAAAGAAATGACTGGCTAAATTGCAAATTGCTGGGGCTGACGGGGAGGGGAACCAGGAACCCTAGGTAAAGCTTGTTAAAGCTGGTATCATCTTAGGTTGACGTGCAAAGTGGAATAGACCTTGTAGATATAAGAGATAAGAGAAAGATGAAAAAAAAGGGGGGTTTAATTTATTTTACAGTTTTACAAATGATAAAACAATAACACCCGATTGCTATACATAAACAAAAGGGAAACAGTGTTGAACAGAATGAACTTGACAGGATAAACCTCATCTTTCAATTCCATAAATGATATAAGAAACAGTAGCAATTATTCTGTGCAGCAGTACTATCTCTGTAAACTCTTTTTTTTTTTCCTCCCTGCTATATACATTTGAAACTCTTGTGCTTTTGCCTACACAAAGAAACAGTAATTATTAAAAGGTGCTACTTAAATGCGGAGACAATGGTTCTGGAGCCACAATCTGAAAACTGCAATTCAAATACATTGCCAGCTTGAAGACTTTTTTTTTTTTTTAAATTTTTTAAAGATTTGGATATATTAGACCCTCATTGTAACTCTAGGTATGAACAACATAGAATTCAGTTACAAAGTAGATCCCTTTAAAGCAGGTTAGCAACTGAAGTTTCAAAAGAACTTCTTTATTCTAAAGAGGTTTTATCTCCAGAGTGCTTCACATCGCAAACCCTGAAGACATGAGCGTAACACAAATCCAGTGTGTGTATATTACAGACTCTGTGTATACACACAGACACACATATATAGCACTGTATATATGTATCACACGTCTATTTGTACTATGTAGATATATCTATAGCACATATATAATAAAATATCTATTTCTAGGTGGGCTTTATTTGGATTTTCTTTCAACAAATAGGAACGATAACCCTCTCTCACTCAACTTGTCAAACATTGGTATACTGATCATGTCTGATGGGGAAACTCTCAAACTGGTAGAGGTCACAACTAACTATACATAACTCTTCCTACACCCCTTCCACAATTATAGATACTCCCAACAATAACCACATAAAAAAACTCTTTTATGAACCAAATACCACACTGTGTGTATTATGACTAACTGGCTCAATCAGAAATAAATTACTCTGTTCACCCTTTTCCTGCGTAGTAGCTTAATAACTAGTTGGTATGTACACTACCTACAGCATTATTTAAATAAATTGTTTCTGTAAGCATATATGTAGAAATTCCCATTAGCAACTGATATACATTTCATTTCATATACAATACATAAACACATTTGAATGCCCAGCACCTTCTTTCAGACAGAAAATCTTCCAGTCATTTCATCAGTCCTGTGGGCTCAATCATCAGATCTGCCCAGAAAAATCTGTTACTGATTTATTATTTTTTATTCCAGCAACTTAATATTAAGTATAGAACAGGCTGGGTAATAATGATGAAAATGTTTCCATGGCCTCTTCATGTCAACAGCACAGTAACAACCATGTTCTCAAAGGGACAGGAGTGTTTCACAGTCAGCTGCCTGAGTGTTGCCAGGTACAGGTTTAAATCATGAAAAGGAAATAAAATATTAAAGCTGTGAACATAGTCTCGGAGGAAAAAAAAACACTCAAATATTTCAAGTATGTACTTCTAATTTGATTTCATCATGATCGCTTTTGCCCCCTGATTGGTTGGATCTGAATTCTTTTTCTTATTCTTGCCTTGAGCCTTCAGTAATCTCCCTGCCCCACCCCTGTAAGAAGGCCACAGTGGATGGTGAAGCGGGAGGGGAGATGGAAAGCGCTACAATAGGGAATGGACTGGTCTTGTACACGCTGTCTTCTTTGAACACTAAACGCCTTTAATTGAATTCATTCTTGAGTATTGAAAGTTCCCTGAGATGAACACAAGTAGTCTCAGTCGATACTGAAGCCCTTTTTATATGCTGAGAATTTTCAGAACTGGGCAACGTATTTAGAGAACATAAAGTACAGGGTACCAAAGCAATGTGAAGCTAAAAAGGCACTACCCAATGCGTTTATGAGATAAACATCAATGCGTGGAACAGTGCATGTCTGGGATGCTTTTGCTGTGGCCTTCAAATTGTCTCAACACATTTGTTGAAAGCACAGTCAAAATGGCAAGGTACCTTGATGCTACTTTTTACCTTCAATGAGTTCTGAGATGTATCTTATCTAAAAGAATTGACTTGTGACTTCAAAATTTTTATTGAATTTAAATTAAAGACTACTCAAACAGCTTGTCTGCAAGTCCAAATTAAGTAATCACCTACTTTTGATTAGTTGGGTGTATCAGACTTTTCAAGTTTACATTCAAAATATGGACTTAATCCTTTAAAAACTTCCAATAATAAGAGGTTCAGTGACGAATTACATTATAGTCTATCAATTTTTAGCTATGTATCTCCTTTGTGGGTTCTATTTTATTTTATTAGAGACACATAAATTCTCAGAAAATATAATCTTCTATATCCCAAGGTTCTATCATATTTTTAAAAAGAATACCACATATTATTAATATATGAGAACTGTATTACTATGAATATCCTTTTTTTGATAACATATATATATGTATATTCTTTATGCTATTTATTCTTTTTCAGGCCTTCTTCTCCAAGAAACAAAACATATATATTCCTCATACTATTTCTTCTTTTCACAGATTGCCTTCCCTCAGAAACAAGAAGTAATCTATTTTGTTTTAGGGCAAGAGTAGAAGTGGGAACGTAGCACTTCTGCTTTCTAAAGAAACAATTTACCATCAGAATTACCTACCAGTGTAGTAATTACCAGAAATTGGCCTGTTGGTCAATTCTGTTATATGTTAAAATTTTCAAAAGTCACTTTATTAATAATTTCCTGTGCTTCTCTGAAAACACATTAATGTGATAATGTGAATAAATTTAACTACAGAAAAAATATTGGTCAGTTTAATTAATCTGAAGTTCAAAATACTGACATACAGTCTCATTGTTAAACCTCTTAAAATTATCTCTGTGATGAAAACAGCACTCTATTAATCATTTCTTCATGAAGAAATTTTAACAATCATCTACAGAGCAAGTCAATCTTTCCATCTGAATTAACAAGTGGGATATCAAAGAACTGGAAGTCACATTTCAGACCTACCAGTTAAACATTTACTCTAATGGGCAAAATGCTTCCACAAAATCATTATGAAATGTAAAAGCCACGGAATCTCCTTTCAAACAAAAATGAAGTTTGAGTTTGGAAAATTTAAAATACCTAGAGACAATTTTTACATTAGTAGCATCCTAATATACTAATATGTTATTTTCATGAAAGGAGACTGGTTTCTTGTGTAGACATGTCAGTATAATCTTTGGTACCAAAAGTGATTTTTTTTTTTTCCTGCTAATTTTACCATCTCAGATGACACAGAGTTTGTCTTTCCTTTAGAATGGCTCAAGATTGCTGAGTGATACAGTTTAGCTGGTACCTTCTACACCATTCCTGGAGAAGGAAATAGCAACCCACTCCAGTACCCTTGCCTGGAAAATCCCATGGATGTAGAAGCCTGGTAGGCTACAGTCCATGGGGTCGCAAAGAGTCAGACACGACTGAGCGACTTCACTTTCACTTTCACTTTTTCTACACCACTGGAAAAAAAACTGGGAGGTTTACAGTTGTGCAAAACAAAACTTTTTTTACAAAGTTACTGTGTGATAACCTGTTTAAAAATATAAGAACTTTAAAAACGATCACTTAAAGGTTACTTATCTCATTCATATTTATCTCAGAAAGGATTTCAAAGCACCCCGAATACCCAAACAAAAAGAGACTCCAGAAGGCAAACAAGAACAGAAACAAAACATGAAGTTCATCATGATCAGACTCAGAGTCCTGACTGAAGGCATTTCCTTGAGTTGTTTGACCTCACGGTATTCCCTGCTCAAACTGTTTCCATCGTGGTTTCTGCTGACAGGACAGTTCGGTTTCCCCAAGGGCTGAGTGGTGTCCCCGGCTTCCTCTTCTCAAACTTGGCGTTGCAGTGCCAGCCCAACAGTGATGAACGTTTTTGCTTCGTTAACTCATGATGAGTGCATTGTTGGATCTTGTAAACACTACTGATTATACATTCAAACTGTGTTCTGAGTGGAAGTGGTACTTACTAAGAACCCTTGAAGTCAAAACACTTAATTTTTAGAGCACTTTGCAGGTATTTCGTCAGCTGGTAGTGGATTTCTCATGAATGTCCTTTAATCACCTTTCAGGTAAGTGGTGGATGCTGCAACCCAGTCTTGTATTGGATCCTGTTTTTCAAATCTTAGGAAGCATCTTCAGAAAAGAAGTGCATGTTCAGTCTGCCTGTCTGTTTTAGGCGTGCTTTATTGCTTTATGCACTTTCCTGTTGTCAGTTTCAGAGCTCCTCTATTATGTAGCACATTTAATGTTTTGAATTCTAACGGCATTCTATGAGGACTTGCATTGGAAAAGTACCTATACTTTAAGTCATCATAGTAATGATATTTGACAGCTTTCCCATTCAAGTCCTTGGGGAATGGCCAGAATCCATACAGGTGAATTTCATCACAGAATCTCGTGGCAAGCGTATACATGAGCAGACCTGTGCTGGGCCTTTTGATGGGGACTTTGTTCGTCAGCCAGTAACTGGGAAGAGAAAACATACACACAAGAGAAGCATTTAGAGACACACTCAACATCACCTACAGCAAGCATACTATGTATAAAGCAAGCGGAATGTGAAAGGTAACTGTAGAAGTGACATGACAAAGCTGCTGAAGGAGCAATATGTTTCTCATGCATTTAGAAAATTGAATGCATTTATTTTATCTTTCTTATCCTTTATTTTCTTGCTTATTTTGAGGTCACATGAATAGCCAAGGGGCCTGGAGTGTGAGTAAATATTACTGGGGGATCTTGTATTAAAAAGAACTAGAAGAAAACATTTATAGAACCTGCAGAGTAGAATCTTCTCAGAAAGGGTTAAACATGACTGCAAAAGCCATAGTAATTGGGCAGTGATTAAGCAATTTTTTCAGGAAAAGAGGATTTGAAACTATGCCTACAGGTTTTCAAAATCCTTCATATTTCAATTAAAAATCCAAACACAAATGGTTTGCCTGTACTATACTTACTTATTCAACTCCAATTTCTAAGTCACATTTTACTAAAGCTAATTAAGAATACTGCCTCAACCCACAGAAGAACAACAACATGGCACAAGTAACAAATATTTGTAAAGCGTCCACTGCTTATGCTGTTTAAAATTTGATTAGATAGAAAAATACTTTTCAATGCTGGTAAGGATTTTATACTATTCTTTTAAAAAGGCAATAAAATACTCCATAAAGTTTGATCCACTTTTGCTGCCAAGCTTTGTTCACCTGAAAAGCATGCACACTCACAAGTTAATCATCATCTCAAACAGGAAAGGAGGTATCCCAGCCTTCTTGCCACAGTCATGATCTTATACGGGACCAGCTAAAGTTAACTACTCTTTCCTGGAAAATCCCATGGATGGAGGAGCCTGGTAGGCTGCAGTTCATGGGGTCGCTACTGAACACAACTGAGCAACTTCACTTTCACTTTTCACTTTCCTGCATTGGAGAAGGCAATGGCAGCCCACTCCAGTGTTCTTGCCTGGAGAATCCCAGGGATGGGGGAGTCTGGTGGGCTGCCCTCTATGGGGTCTCACAGAGTCGGACACGACTGAAGCGACTTAGCAGCAGCAGCAGCAAAGTTAAGGAAAAATGTGGATTTTCTTTGATATAAAAAGTTGTCTAGTTACACTGCCAGAGAACTCCTAATCCCAGGGACTATTAATTAGTGAGAACTTCCACAAAGGACTATACCTGCAATACAAAGCTCATTAGCAGCCAGCTGCCAACGGCACCCCATGCAGGATGCCTCTCCCGAACAACAAGCAAGAAAAAAACCCAGAAGCAGTCATCAGCAGATGGGATTCCCACAGACACCCCAAACCATACCACCTCACACAGTCCTGTCCACTGCAGGGGAAAAAGATAAACTCACCCCCTCCCACTAGAATGCAGGCACAAGTCACCCTCAACATGAAGCCAAAACAAATCACTGGGCCAACCTTACCCACCGAGGGCAGAAACCAAAAGGAAGAAGGAATACAACCCTCGAGCCTGGGAAAAGGAGACCTCAGACGGAGCAAGTTAGGGAAAAAAAAAGACAAGACAGAAATATGGTGCAGATGAAGGAACAAGGCAGAAACTCACAAGATCAAAAGTTGTCTAGTTACGAATGAATTTAATGCATTTTGTTTTTATTTTTGTTTTTATTATTATTTTCTATTCAAGGAAATATATAACTGGATATCCAAATATGCATGTAAGATTGTTCTATTCTGGTCATTGCTGTGCTTAAATCCTTTCCTTAGATTTTACATAATGTTTTCTTTTTCTTTTCTAGAAAGTAATTTACGATGTTTTCCTGGCCGGATCAAATACATCTACACTAATGAATACAAAAACCTAAATTTTGTTTCACTTTATTTGGTTAAAGAAATATTGGACTTTCAAACCTCCAGAACAGGAAAAATATACTTAGCCGTTATGATTCCTGTTTTTCTTTTTTTTTTCCTTCTTACCCGCCCCTGCCCGCCACCCCCGCCTCCCCTTTCTTTGAACCAGTATTGACCTTTTACATTTTTTATTTTCTTGTTGGGTAAAGGGCACGTGCTGAATGTGGTGAGCAACGTGAAATGCGTTATGAACGTTCTGTTAAAGCAAGTGTTTTGAGAAAGCATATTCTCAGTAAAGAAGGTTATTAAGGAATTTTTAGAGAAGAACATCTAAGAATTTTCTCAAAACCCAAAGGCATGATCAAACCCCGTAGCACATATACTGCTAACATCATGAAGAAACCACAGAAGGATTTCGTGCAAGGAGCATAAACTACAGCCTGGAGGCTTTGAAGAAACTTTGATACAGCCTGCAGCTCTCAGCTCTGAGAAAGCAGGTGTTGCTAAGATGAAATGGTTATTACAGGAAAGTTTTGTGAGCATGACTTGTGTGTGGTTACAAATGTCAGCTGAGGTAGTTGGTTAGTTTAAAAAGTGCGTTTATAAATTTTTTAAGTGAGTGAAGTAAGTTCAGTCAAAAAATAAATAATAAGATCATTTCCATCAGGGAATGTCAATTACGGGAAATAGTTTGGCCATATATGGGCTTCCCTGGTAGCTCAGACCGTAAAGAATCTGCCTGCGATTCAGGAGACCCAGGTTCAATGCCTGGGTCAGGATCCCCTTGGAGAAAGGAATGGCAACCCACTCCAGTATTCTTGCCTGGAGAATTCCATGGACAGAGGAGGCTGGCGGGCTACAGTCCATGGGGTCACAGAGTCAGACACGACTGAGTTACTACATTGGCGGTATATTGGTCATGCTGAATTATCTTATTTCTAAAGTGGGAGAAAAATAGATAGGAGAAGAAAATGTAATACTATAGCATTTGTACGGGACATTACGGTCACATTATGTGTAATTACAAGATCATATTATAAATAAGCTTTGTGATGTTTGGCTTACAACAATTTGAATAATTTTTTAAAAACTGACATTTTTTGAGAAATAATGAAAATAACTAACATCTTATTGACTTCTAGAAAGAAATCACAGGGAAAAAGGCCTTAATAAATGGCATCAATATGTAACAGATAAATTGAAACAAAATCATCTAAAGCAGGTCAAGAACTAAAGTCATAATTATTATAGTAACATTCTGTGAAATTAAAAAAAAAAACATAAGGAGCCAATCCAAACACAATCAGTAAAAATTTGCTGAGTGTTTAATATAGCTCTAATGTTATGCTTGAAATTGTTTAGGCCAACCTAAACTATCAAGATTCAGTATTTGTCCAGGAACACAGTACAATTTTAAAGAATCTGTTGAGTATTTACTTATATACAAGCTGGCATTTAAAAACTATAAATTTCTTGTGAACAGTTCATCGAAATAGACTGTTAAGTTTTTAACTCTAATTAGGAAAAATGATGGAAAGCAATTAACTGATAAAATAATGAACTATTCATACTCCAATTCAGTACAAGCTGTTCTAATTTTTATTTCAAATTAATATCTATTATAGTTTAAAATTCAGCAGTGTTTTCAATTCACCAAATAATCTAGTTTCCATATATCTATTTCTTTGAAATGAATGCAGAAGAAAAAATATTACCTATACTCCAAACACAAACTGATAATTACTGCCACAAGGTGCTGAATCCTTTTGTTTCCCTAGCTGTTTTGAATCAATATGTATTAAAACCATTCATAGACATACATAGGATATTTTCTATCAGCTAGGCTCAGTTTTATTTCAGAAACTATTAATCCCCCTTTCCCGCCCTTCCTTTCTACTTTAATATTCTAATGCTCTGTCTTGTATGAAACAAACTCACCCTGGACTTGCCATGTAACTTTCTATAGATGTAAAACCTTCCACAGTTTTTACTGCTTCCCAGGAAGGTATCTAATCTACTCTTCCTCCAACACATCAGTCCCATTTCTTATTTCAAACAAACACAACTTGAAATGCCTTTACTCATAACATTGGTGTGCTATATAGAAGGCCAAATTTATTGTCAGAAGTTATGGGTGTGAATCCGTAATATAATGATTATGAGTCCTTGGGAAAACTACTTTACTTCTTCAGACTTTGGTTAATACTATTTAACATATAACATCGTTATAGCTCAGATGGTAATAACTGCAATGCAGCAGATCTGGGTTAGTTTGATCCTTGGGCCAGGAAGGTCCCCTGGAGAAGGGACGGTCTACCCACTCCAGTACTCGAGCCTGGAGAATTCCACAGACAGGGGAGCCTGGTGGGCTACGGTCCATGGGGTTGGAAAGAGTCGGACAGGACTCAGTGAGGAACACAACATTGTTAGGATAGAGTGAAGAGGCAGTAAGGACATAAGAACATAGCATAAAGCTCGACACACAGCGGGGGTGGTGATTTAGTCACTAAGTCGTGCCCTACTCTTGCAACCCCGCGGACTGTAGCCTGCAGGCTCCTCCATCGATGGGATTCTCCAGGCAAGAATCCTGCAATGGGTTGCCATGCCCTCCTCCAGGGGATCTTTCCGACCCGAACCCACAGTAAGTAACAGTAGTTGAACTTCCAGGTAGCCCACAGAACCCATTCTTCAATCCCACGCCCACAGACTACCTTCTCCCGGCAACATCTGAAACTACAAATGGGTTGGATGTGTCATTTCATCTCAGTGGTGTGTTTCCTTAGCTGAGAAAAAAAACCATCTGACCATATATATGGCTTTAGGGTTTCCTCTGTTTATAAGATTCGATTGTTGTTTCAAATCTTCTCTCTCCGAGAAACTGCGTGCTCCCTGAAGCCGCATGAAACTCTTGTTCCAGCTCTAGCTTCCTCCTCCCCATTCTGTTCCCGTTACCTTCTTTAGTGTTTAATATACTCAAAGCAAATGCATTTGATGACCAATTGATATTATAATGGGTAATCACAAGCTTAAAATACGGAGTTGAGAGGTCACTGCGGATCTGGTCTCAGACACATCTCTGCACCACTGAAAACGTCAACTGTCTCTGAACTGTACCAGGCCCAAGCTCACCACCAGCTGTGTTCCGAACAGCATCTGC